CAGGGCCGGCGGAGCCACTGCGGCGCGCCGCGCCGCGCCGGTACCTATCTTCGTTACTGCTTCGTGGCACTGCCTGTTTCTCGGGGACACCACCACCCCTGTGCTGGCAGGCCGGCGAGCGAGCGAACCCAAGAGGGGGTCCGGCCCTTGAGCTTTCTTTGTACTCCTCTCTTTTAATATCAGAGCACATATTGAAACGATAAACACAATGAAAAGCACAAAATATTTCATCAGTGTTGTAACTGTATATTTCCTTTATTCTGAAGAAATATCAAGTTTTGAACAGCGCACAGAGGCAGCAACTTCTGCTTTGGAGGCCGCTCTCTTTTTAAAGACCGCGTTGTTACAGTTTAAGCTAAAGACAATTTTTAAAAAGCATTAGATGTCAGAAAAGGGGGGAAAATCTTACCGTCGAAAGACTGCTGCAGGTTCCAGCTCAGTCTGAAACTGCAGGGAAAAGTGGAGCAGCTGCTGAACAAAAGTTTTAGTTTTTTTTTTTTCAGAAAGTCTGCAAAACTAATTTCCCACAAAATAGGACTCAATTTCCGTTTAAGAAACTAGCTCTTGCAAATCTCATACAATTCCCGATTTTTTCCAATAGCAATTGAAATTCATTTTATCTTTCGCACATGGACCCAAGAATTTAGACTTAAATTGCAGGAGCGCGATGGTTTTCCCCCCCTTTTTTTTTTTTTTTTTAATTTTGATTTGAGGGGGGAGGAGGAGGAAGGTAGAGCGAGGAGGAAGGGCTAAGAAACAAAACGTTTCCGCAGCGGGCACCTCTTTGGTCAGTGATGAATAAATGCATTATCCTAATTTAAACCGGTTAGCAGCCGCCTTCGTGGCTACTGTTGTTTCCACTACACGCGCGTTAAAAAAAAAAAAAAGCCAAGCCCGGACTCTCTAGGTTGTTCCTCCTGAGCCACTACAGACCGCAACGAAGAAAACGAAGATACGGGGAATAAAAATTATGCGAGTTCTTGTTCTGAAGGGGCAGGGGGCAAGAGGGGAAACTTGTCTTTCGCCGGCCAGATTTGATCGCCCGGTGGTTTCGTTGCAGCACCAGCCCCCGATGCCGGGGGGACAGCGTGAGGCGCGCGCGGGAAGC